GGGCTAACGGCAGAGCAGGGGAAGCAGGCGCCGGGGCAGGGCTGGGAGACAGCAAGGGCATGGTGAACACTGGGAGGAAAGGCTGGGGGACACTCAGAGGCTGTGCAGAGGGACCGAAGTCTGTAGGCTGGATAAAGGGGTCTCCAGGTCGGGGAGCTCGATCGCATCCCGGCCTATCCGTAGGGTCTAGGGTGGTGGCTGCAGGAGGTGAAATGAGGCCATCAGGGAGGTTCACGGTGGGGAGAGCAGGGGCTGGCAGGATGCTCTCCTGAGAAAGGAAGGACAAGTGCTGGATCACACAACTTGCCATCACTTCCCGGTACAACACACCACAAAGTCCAACAACGTGTGGTGGGCGCCTGAGCAGAACCGCCGGACAGAGGGACAAGGCGATGGTTCCCGTCCCCATGGCTGCTAACTGGGGGGAACGGAGCTGTGTCTCCCCAGGCATCCGCAGGGGTCTTGTTTCCATTAGGGACTAAATGATAACACAGAGCTCAGACAAAGTGACTGTCTGCACACAGTTGGCTCTAGGCCTGGGAGTATCTTGTTTCTGAAGTCCAGCAGGGGTCCCCCCAAAGTCCCTGCCATCTTCTGTTACAGAGCAGAGGCAGCCTGGATCACAGCTGCTCATGGGGTTCCCCCAGGACAGTTTCACGTATCAACTTCTAGAGGTCACCTCTTCCTAAAAGAGAAACGCTATAAGGAATCGATTGTCAGGATCTCAGTCTCTATAGAAGAACTTCTTCCCAGAGCCAGATGGAAGAAGATGGGGCCAGGTTTCTGGTGTCTAACTGGATACGGGTACCAGCCTGAGAGCCCCTGAGGGCAAAGAGCCATGCCTCATTCAGCTCTGCAGCCCCAACACCTGATAACCAACTACTGTTAATTGTTGAGTAAAAAGTAAGAGAAATACACAGAGCTTATTTTTATTAGCGATCCATGTTTTTCTTTGCTAAGCCTCTCTAGACTGGTCAGAACAGAGCTCACGGCACACAGGTTACGTGCAGCCTTAGGCAGGGGCGCCTGCTTACTGACAGTCTCTCTCCCCTCTTGGATATCTCTGCGTGCTTTCGAGGAGGGCCAGAATAACTTCTTTATGCGTTAGTTGTGTGTTCAGCCCTAGATCTGGCAAGCCCTAGTGTGTTGCTTATGACTGTGTGGTTACTTATTAGCCTGGCCCTCGGCCCCCCTGCCCCCACTCCCTCTACCTGAGCAGGTGGGCTGTTGGGATCTGGTGCAGGTGCTGAGACAGGAGCAGGCAGCACGGAACCAAAAATGGAGCGGCTGGAAGAGAAGAGGTCTGAAAGACAACAGCGGGGGCCTTTGAGCTCCGTGTGCCCATCACATCCTTGAATTAAGAAGATCCAAGCGAACAGGGCACTGAGCCCCAGCTTACCCAGAGGAGTGCCATGGCATTCCCCCCTGAGGGCGATCCCCCCTGAGGTAACTCTGCAGAAAGAGGCCCTCTGATTGGAACCGCTCATGCTGGTAACTAGTGTGGGCTCTGAAATACTCCCAGGCCTGGTGTTTCGTAGGCTCTTACGAGCCCAGTTCTAACTGCAGGACACTGCTGGGAGGCGGCTGTGTTGCCAGCGCCCTCTGCTGCCTAGAGGGAGAACTGCTTACGGTTCTGGGCAAACCTGAGGCTCTGAGACTGCAGGAATGAGAATGGCGATTCCCTTGAGAGAGAACCGTGTGGCAGAAAAGCTTCCCAGACCTTGCAACTACTACCAAAAAAAAAGTAGTTCTGGAAAAATTCCAAATCTTCCCCTCTGCCCATTCTAACAGTCCCCTCCACGAAGGGGAAGCACCAGTGTGCTCTGTCCTGGGCAAAAGGAGATCCCGGCAGCCATGCTCTCTGCCTGCCCCGAGTCCTCACCCTGGAAAGGTTCAAATGTGTCCATGAAGTCCAGGTTGGGCTGCAGGGGGATGAGCCCCGGCTGGATCATGTCGGCATTCCCCAGATGTGCTGCAAGAATCAGAAAGGAGACAGAGGCATCATTCTGCCTTCTCAGGCAATGTTGCAGGAACACATAAAAGGCCTGGAACGGGTCCTCCTGGCCCTGTTCACACTCCAGATTCTTCCAAGGAGAAGTGCAGGGAGATGGCTGGAATTTCTACCTTCTTGTGAGTTCATGGCTATTCTCCCCCTTCAGAAGGCAGGAAAGAAAGTGAGTTTTTATAAGAAAAGTGAAGTGAGTATCCCAACAAGAGCAAGAACAGCTATGCAGAGATCCCTGGTTCTAACTGCTGGTCTGTGGGCTCTTCCCTGAAGGGTAACTGGATGCCTGAATGCTGCCAGGTAAAAGGTCATGCCCAGGAATACCTGATTTTCTTCACAGTGAGTCAGAGGCCCTGTCACTCGGCCTAGGCACAGATCCTCTGCTCAGGGGACAGTATCAGAAATGGCAAACTGATTCAGACCAAATCCCCACCGTCTTCTCACAGTGGCACCACAGGCGTGACAGCTGCCCAGGAAGGCCCATTTGCAGTCCCCACGCTCTCAGTGCACGTGACCCTCAGATGCCAGTGACACTGGCCAATCTTTCTGGCAGCCTGCCCTAAATAAGTGGTGCCCAGCAGCTAAGAGATGGCCTTGAGGCAAATCCTGCCCTGGGGGCCCCAGGGGAGGCGGGCGGGGCTGGCAGAGAAGGACACCAGCTGCGTGTTGGAAGCCAAGGATCCAGAGGTGGGTTACCTATTTCCCGGGGGTTGGGCCAGGCCACCGGCTGGTGAGAGGAAAGTGTGGAGAAGAGGGTGTCGCTGAATTCTGACATGAGCATGTCTGTGTCCAGCAGTGGGTCCTCCTCCATGGGCACCGGGGTCTTCCATCCGTCCCCACGTTTGTGCCAATAAAGCATGTCATCATCCTACCGCCAACAGAAGGGGAAGGACAAGTCCCAGGGGACTGGTGAACTCAGAACTCCCAATCCCATCACGCAGAGAGGCGCTACCCTAGTTTACGGAGCGGCAAGGGCTGCTCTAAGAGATGAGGCGGTGGGTGAGCAGGGAGAACTGGCCTGTTTCCTTAGCCTGCATGTCCTCTGTGTGAGAAGGGGGGTGGCCCCCTTGGAGCTGTGGGGACAGCCTGTGTCCCTACCACCTTCGGCTGCGGGCTTCACCATGGGGCCGCCCACATCATTGCCGCTTCCCGTCAGAGGAGGGTTCCTCTGCGGGTCCTCCCAGCCCCACCGTGCACTCACCCGGGCCAGGCTGGAGAGGTCCTCATCCTTGTGCTGCTGCAGCTGCGGGGAAAAGAGGAGAAAAGAGCTTCACTCAGGGGCCTGGGAGGGGATGAGGCCCTCTCCCTCTCCTGCCAGAACCATCCGGGCCTCTTCTCCCTGGGAGGCCTGTGAGGGGTCTTGCTCTCTGCCGTCGCCAGGCCCACACTGGGCAGAGATGAGATTCCCAACCAGCGTCTGTGGAATAAACAGCCCCGGTTCGCAGCGGGAGAAACTGAGAGCACAGGTAACACGACCGAAGCAGGTCCACCGCTCGGGCTGGGCTAGAACACTGGCTGCCACGGGAGCAGCAATGGAGCCACGACCTCGGGGGCCAGCGTCTGGATACAGGCCTTCGGTCCTTCCCTCCTCTACGGGGGCTTCCTGCACATGCTCTTCTCGGAGCCCAAGCCGGGTACCCTTTTCTTGAAGTAGGTTCTCCACTTGTGATATTCCCGGATCACGATCTCAATGCGGCTCTTCCAGTACTTCCCTTCTGTGGTGATGGCCTGTGAAGAGAGGCAGGTCACGGTCAAAAGAGGGGCATCCAGGCTGACCGGCAGAACTCAGCCTGAAGACACAGATGTGTCTGACACCGGAAGTCAGCCCCGGGCAGCACGGCTCAGAGGGCCCTGCCACGCGCCTAC